CACAACTGTAGACTTGAATCAGTACATTAGAAAAAGTGTGAAATTTGGAGTTAACAAAAGTTTGGAGGTGTGGATACTGGCAACACATGACACATTGTGAGCATAGTATCAGCTGACTGACAGTAGCATTCACACCATGTAAACAAAACAGCAGAAATTTAAGAAGATGAAAACTAATCAGGAGCTGAGCATAGGACTTTTTTTGGAGGGGCTGAGTTGTGCCAGACTTGTGGAAACAGGCAAATGTAGTATACCTATATTCAAAAAGGGAGACAGAGCATCAGCGTCAAATTACCGGCCGTTCAGTTTGGCATCAGTAGTGGGGAAATTTCTTGAATCAATTATAGCAGATAGCATCCGATCGCATCTAGAGAAAAGCAAATTAATCTACGACTCTCAACATGGGTTTACAAAGGGAAAATCTTGTCTAACAAATCTGCTAACGTTTTTTAGGAAAGTCTTCGAGGTAGTAGATAATGACAAAAATTACGATGTTATTTACTTAGACTTTAGCAAAGCATTTGACAGAGTACCGCATCAGAGGCTTCTGAGAAAAATTAAAGATCATGGTATCGAGGGGAAAGTTTTAAATTGGATAAAATCATGGCTCACCGATAGAACGCAGAGGGTCAGCGTAGATGGTGTTAAATCTGAGTGGGGCCGTGTAACCAGTGGGGTTCCCCAGGGGTCAGTACTAGGCCCACTTTTGTTCATAATCTACATAAACGATCTAGATACTGGGATCAGCAGTGACATAAGCAAGTTTGCGGATGACACCAAAATAGGGCGGCAAATTAATTCAGGGCAGGATGCAAATGCATTACAGGAGGATCTAAATAAACTGCAGGGGTGGTCTGAAAAATGACAAATGAAATTCAACACCAGCAAGTGCAGCGTACTTAATATTGGAAGAACAAATACTTATAATGTATACAGCCTTAACAACATCAACCTAGAGAAGTCGACTTGTGAAAGAGACCTAGGGGTACTTGTAAGCCCGGACCTACGGCCTAGAAAACAGTGCGTTAATGTTCGAAATAAGGCAAACAGAGTATTGGGTTTTATATCTAGAAGTGTAAGTAACAAGAGTGCAGAGGTCTTATTGCAACTATATCTTGCGCTAGTCAGGCCTCACCTCGATTATGCGGTTCAGTTCTGGTGCCCCTATTATAGAATGGATATAAATTCACTAGAGTCGGTGCAGCGAAGAATGACAAAAATGATTCCGGGACTTAGAAACCTTCCATATCAGGATAGGCTAAAGAAACTTAACTTGCATTCCCTAGAAAGACGAAGAGTGCGGGGAGATATGATAGATGTATTTAAGTGGGTGAAAGGAATCAATAAAGGGGATATAGATAAAGTTCTTATAATATCCGAGCAGGATAGGACTCGGAGCAACGGATTCAAGTTGGATAAGTTTAGGTTTAGGAGGGAGATAGGAAGAAACTGGTTCACAAATAGGGTGGTGGGCGAGTGGAACAAGCTTAGCAACTTTGTAGTAAGTGCTGGAACTCTGGAGTTTCAAAAGGAGGCTAGATAGATTCATGGATGATAGAGAGTGGTAGTAACTCTCGACAGGAGCTGCCATGCACAGGCCAACCGGCCTATTGCAGACTCCTTATTTTCTTATGTTCTTATGTTATGTTCTAATGTATCCTAAATTACATTAATATATTCATTATAGATCTTGGCTTAGCATTCCTTGCTGTTCACTTGTTTCTAATATTATCCAGTTTCTCATAAGTATAGGTATAAAATCTATTTCTCTATTGCATACTGTACAACATATATCACACTTAATATGCATATACTCATTGTGTACACCAAAACATTTCAATTTTTTTTGAGGAATGTATCTGTTTTTCTAATGGGAGTGAGTCTATGGGAAAATATGATCAATTTACTAAAGAAATTTAGAACAGAATATTTTTTTTTAAATTGGGAATGCCTGTATTTACAATTAAAGAAACCAGGCATCATTAAATGTCTTAGCTAGTAGAGTACTGTATTCATAATCATCCCTCACCATAGAAGGAAAGTGGTTAAATACCTGTAATTATTTAATTTATCCAAGTAACACTTCATAAATTTGCTTGACCAGTGTTTTCAAGTTTTCAGAACTGTGTACGATTTAAAGGTATTTTCTGAACTAAACCAAGTAATTCTTAAATGGCAATGTCCCTAATATAAGACTACAGTATTTATATACCTGCAACTGGAAACAGCAATTTATTTAAATTGTACCATTATTGGTACAGGTTGGACCTCACTAATCCGGGAAGCTTGGGACCAGACCGGTTCTGGATTAGCGAAAATTCAAAACCATCAAAGCTGAGGTTAAAAAAAGGCAAAATAATGCATAAAATGTACTATTACTGGTACAGTACCAATACAACTTACATCAGTATAAATTTAGCCCAGGCTTACTGGACCTCTGTATAACAAAGTGTTAATGTTATGGCACAAGTTTACTGTACACTGGACCCTTGCTTTATGCACATTCACTAAATGGGAATTAGCATATATGTACAGAACTAAACAAACAATTTATTTGAAATACTCTGACAGTCCATGCCATAATATCCTGACCACTGGGGTTAGTTATACAGATTTTTCTCTGTGAAAAAGCCATAATTTTGATAAACATATTACTGTACTTACTTTGTACTCAAATGTACTAAGCTAGAGGACTAAAAATTTTATGTCTAGTGTAAATTATGAGATGCTTACATACTCAAATTAATTGCTATCTTGCAAGGATTACAGCAATGCAAGTTATATTCTGCTAAGTCAAGTCAGTGACATTTTATAAGAGAAAAACTTTAAGCCTAAAACCACCTTCACCCTCTAAAATCCTTATTGCCTTCTGGCTGGGAGGAGGGGGGAGGGGAGGTAAGGCATTGACAGCCAGGAGAGGAGATTACCGGGTGCATATAGTTATCAGTGGAGGGAGGAGGGGTCAGGGACTCAGGGTTACAGTACAATAGAGGGAGATTAAGTTTTCCACTTATAAAATGTCACTGACTTAACTTAGCAGAATATAACTTGCATTGCTGTAATCCTTGCAAGATAGCAATTAATTTGAGTATAAACATCCATATAAAAATTTTAGTACTGTAATTAAATTAGTACATTTGAGTACAGGTTGTTGTAATTGTAATGATTTTTCCACAACTTTTACAGCATTACTGTTGACTTAGTAGCTGTGGAACATATCCTAATTTTTCCCATTAGATTAATTATTCACTGTATATGCGTCCTGAACCATCAAGCTGCTGGACTATTGGGTCCAGGATTAGCAGGGTCCAACCTGTATAAAATAAAGTGTATCACATGTTCCAGTAGACCTCCTCACACTATCCACGCCTCAGTCATTCTAGAACATGCAGGTTCTTTGGTGTTAGTGGCTGTCTGCCAGAGCTCCACCCCCCCCCCCCACTCCCCCTTAGTAGCTTGGCCCCCACACACTCATCTAAACACTACCACAACAAATCAAATGTAAGTGGCAGGCAGTCCCTGATTTCCAAAAGAGTTCTGTACAGTAATGTGAAAACCTTTTGTAAATTGGATCCTATTTTCCCACTCACATTATTAATACTGAGAAGTTTCTATGGGAAAAAATCCTCAAAATGTCTGAAAATGCTACAAAACATGTTTTTAATGACTGTTTTATGTACTTAATGGTTATGTCAATAAAAAACATAATAAATGAAAAGGTATGCAGTACAGTACACTAATAATTTTGTTCTTACAAGAAATTGTAGTGCAAGACTGAGGCCCAACCAGATGAATGGTTTCAATTTTGTAGTGAAACACCAACAGTAAGTGTATGGATATACACCTTTACGTGAATATGTGTTGTTTACACTTGATTCTACTCTTTATAAAATGGTCATTATTATCCAGTGCTTTACATGATTGGCATCATTTGTCTTGATATACATAATAATTAGTGAAAGAGAAAAAGTATACTGTAGGTGAATTTGTCTGAAACCACAAATTCATTCGTGACTTCGACGGCAAACATTCTTTATTTCAAACTCCTATTCCACTCATATTTTGAAATTTAATGTTTCCAAGCAGTTAAAGCTTTATAGACATTAAATTCAGTATTCACGTAAACCAGAACTTGGAATTCTTAACAGTTATATATGGATTTATTTTTGCTATATTAATGTTAATTAAACATTAAACATTATGTATGAAGGGGGGAGAGGGGCATCTTTGCCAATTACCATCAGTCAAAAAAAGAAAAAAAAGAAAATCACTATAGTACAGTACCATTATTTTACTAAGAGATAAACACACATAAAAAATATTAACATGTTTTCCTTGAATTTTCATCTCACCTACAAATAAAAGCACCTGAGTTCTTTTGGTTATATGCAAAGAAATGTGGTTTTGGCACCTAACCTAAATTAACTCAATTGTTCTTCCTTTAAGATCCAATACAAACATACATTTTGGTCATTTCTACAGAAGACTTCTGAGAATATTGTTAATAACCTAAATTTTAATTTTAAAACATAACATAAAATTAAACTGTTCACAATTGGGTCGTTGTATTAATATTTAGTAATAATACACAATTGGGTACTCAGGAAGGAAAAATTTTGGGTATGTCAAAGAAAATCACAAATATTTCATTCAGATACTGTAAGTGCAAGTTTTCTTATTAGAGCAGCCCTAAAAATTACAAGTACTGTACAGTACAGTATTAAACTAATGATCAATGTAATATTAAGTGTGACCACTTCTCCAAATTGCCTATATGGAATGGCATTTTTTCTTAAGTTCTTTTACCATAATAAGGCACATCACATGAAAGGTTGATAAGCTTGATGGCTCATTCATAGAAGAAATCAATAAATTTTAGAGTACAACAAATAGTATGTCTACCATACAATATATATATATATATATATATATATATATATATATATATATATATATATATATATATATATATATATATATATATATATATATATATATATATATATATATATATACCTCTTGTCTCCAACATAAAAGATTCATAAATTAAAAATTTCAAGCTATGATCAATAAGTAAAAGACACATCACAACTTCACCAAACTGTAATTCATAAACCATGATTTATATTTCAAGCAGTGTAACATATAATTAGTCTCTCTCTCTTTCTCTTGAGTACACAGGCTTAAAAGCTAATGTTTCTGACTTAGATGAAAGTATCCGAGCTATTGTGTCAATCAATAGGCACTGTTGGGAACTGCAGGCAGGTCGGAGACTAGTGGGTGGGGCCCAACATCTGGTGGAGACTCCCAACTATAAGTGATGCGACCAATCATAGGACGGCCAGATGCTCGTTGCAGATGCTGCAGTAATACCAAAGAATTTTAGCATCTATTACATGATTAGGGTATTGTCATTAGTGCTCAGACAATCATTAGTGCTTGGGTAAGAGGCCTAATAAATTTCCAGGGATGAATAAATAGAAAAAATCATTTGAAATTTGGTAAAAATACTGCTAAAGGAATGTTTTTTAATTACAGTATTTAAATTTTCTATTATTAATCTTTTTGATATCTTAAAAAAGTTTGCATGGTATTTTTACCTTTGCTGAAATACTTGAATTTTTATTATGGAAAATATCTTCATATATGTTTTCTAAAACAGCAGAATTGACATGCCCCCTTATAAGCAAATTAATTTTTACTGTAGTATATAAAGTGGTTCCTCGGTTAACGAACGCCTCGGTTAACAAAATTTCGGTTAACGAATTACCTTCCATTAGAATATTGAATTCGGTTAATGAACAAAAATTCGGTTAATAAAATTCTTACAAAAACGTTTCGACATGCTTTGGCTTGCTCACCAGCTGGAAGATTAGTCCGCTAATAAAGAAATCGGTTCTAGGGCTTACATTCATTAAAATTGGAGTAAATATCAAGAAGGTTGTACTATTCAATAATTTTCCAAGTTTTACATTATATTTTTTCGTAATTTTAACACTTATTTAACATAATTGCAGTAAAGGGAGCTAGTTTTTGGTGTGCCCATCAGCCACTTCACTCACCCATCAAAGCCTCAGTTTGTGTCTCTGTTCAGTGGAGGAAACATCTTGCTTATGGGTCTCTTGAACACAGAGTATTTTTACGTTTTTACAGTACAATTATTGGTCATTCTGAAATTTATTTAACATATTGACAATATATAGTGCAGTGCAGTGATGATTTAAAGAAAATAATCTTGAATTACACCTAATGAACTTAAAATTTTATGGGTGAAATGACGGTATGAAGCATGGGGTGATTTCTCTTCCACCCCCACTTCCTTCTCTTCTCCCTTCTCCTCCACCTCCATTTCTAATTCCCATCATCATCATCATCATCATCATCAACTAGGAGCCTTCTACATACACACCTCAAAGTAAGTGTACTTACTGCATTTTTTTTTACTTTGTATGTAATTTTCGGTGAGCTGGAACCAATTTCCCAAAATCCCATTGAAACAATGGTTTCGGTTAACGAACGATCTTCTGGAATGAATTGTGTTCGTTAACCGAGGGACCACTGTACTCGTGCAGAAACTGACCTCATATACAGTTGATAGTTCGACCCCAAGATTTTTTTTATAAGAAAGCTGGATTTTTCTACAGGGTAACCACTTAATTTCTGGCAATCACTGGTCCGGACAGTTTTACAGTGATGGAATTTCAAATTTATCATGCATTTATGGTGAACAATGCTCACAGTAGGCTAACCTTACAGGGTTGTGAGGTGTTTTGGTTATTTTTTAACTTACAATTTCAGGTAGATACACATAACTTTTTTATTCAGTTACAAGCACACACAATCTTACATACAGAATGTGCAAAAACAAACTTATCATAAAGTAAAAAACATAAAAGGAAATAAACTTTCTTCACATGTTAAGAGTTCATGCTGAGTGGGGGAGGATGGAGTGAGGGATCTCAGCTGTTTCTTGTGTGTAGGCAAATGATTAACAAAATTCGTCTCAGGCTAGTATCGATGGAAACAGAATGGTCCCTGAAGATATAGAAGTTCAAGAGTCTAGTGAGGAGGTTTGGGACTCCACAAATGGATCGCTTTGTCTCACAAAACAATCACAAGATGCCAACTTTTGCATCTCTGGAACGATCGAATCTTTTAGGAAATGCTCTACTCATAGACGGGAACCGTTGGAATTCAATCTATGTTCCACCTGTGAAAATGTTGCCCAAAGTGGTTAAAAAACTCAGATCCTTCCAGGGAAAGGTCTTCTTAATTGCACCATATTGAATCCTACAACCGTGGTGTCTGGATCTGTTGAAATCCACTACAATTACAACAAGGATGTCTAGACCAGGTACTGCACCCTCAGTTCGAGATATCCTTGGCACTTCACGCTTGAAGTTTCTCAAAAGATGTTTATATAGATTGTTGGGTAATACCAATATAGTTAACCAAGTGATAGCAGGTCATAGACCCCCAACTTATATGCAATATGAGAAAGCTTGGAAACTTTTTCCACAATTTATCAGGTTAACGACTCCAACCACAGTGCTGTTAGAATTTTTAGATTTTCTGTTTGGAGGTAAAGGCTTTCAAGAATCTACAATTGCACCTTATAAATCAGCGTTGGCTGACCCTCTGGCATGGGGTTTTAATATTACTTTGAACCCAAGAATTTATCAAATGCTCAGATCGTCCTTTTTCATTCAGCGACCCCCTCGGCCTAAGAGAATCCCACCTTGGTCTCTAGATAAAGTTACTAAATTTCTTATGGGGCCTAATTACAATATAAATCTGAACCGGGAAAGATTGCTTCAGAAGGCAGCCTTCCTTCTAGCAATAGCAACAGGTATGAGGATCAGTGAGCTGATTTCAATTTCCAATAATCCATCATTATTGGTATTTTCTGAGGAAGATGTCACCCTTTTTCCTACGGAGATTCTAAGAAAAAATGAAAGGGAGGATTTTCAAGCTCAACCTATCAGGATAAAACGGCTAATGAATGAGACAAGGGTTCCTCATATATTGTGCCCCGTTAAGATTCTTCAAGAATGGTTAACCAGATTCCCTAATCGAGGCTCCTATGTATTCTCATCACAGGATGGTAAGAAATTGTCTCCTAGTCAAATGATAAAATAATTATCTCAGTTAGTGAGTCAAGCAGATCCTGGCAAAAATTTTGGGCACATGACACCAGGAAATATGCAGGGTCTGTGGTCTTTCTGCAGCATATGAGCCTCAGTCATATGAAAGAAGTGGGCTTTTGGAAATCTTAAAAAACCTTTCAAAACAGCTATCTTCATCTATCTCTGAAAGATGCTTCACATGTGGTGGTACTGGGGTCCCCTCCCCCACCTAGTCAATCTCCACAACTGTCTTCATCAGAATAAAGTGAGTATCCTAATTGGGATATGTAAATTAACATTTTACCTTCCAGTAAATGTTCCTAATATTGGAAAATATTCCAAACAGGTTTATAATTATAATCTGGACCTAAGCTAGCAGAGCCTTATACGCAATGTCACCTCCCTCTCCACCTCCTGCTTGGGTAATCAAAGCTTGACGTCGCATTCTAAATTGAACAAAATGCCGTTTTTTTCTATAAACCAGTTTTTGTGATATAGTCCAGAATGCGACGTCGACATCCCACCCATCTCCACCCCTCGCGAGTTGACATATGTTTACTGCTCGCTCTCGGGCAAGAGATGATGGTAGCAATGCGTGTGATGGAGGGTGCGGGAGGAGGTTTTGAGAATTGCAATTAAATGCCAGGTAACGACGTGTCCTCCTAATATTACATATTTAAGTAATTATTCGGTTTTAATTGCCTGTATGTTGGCCTGGCGAGTTAATGCTAGGCATTTAAATACCTAGGTATAAAACTACTTTTTCGTACTTACTTTATCTATTATTATTAGATTCCTCACATTTACTGGTATTGTATATAATATATTATCTTATTCTTCAAAGGAGTTGGTAACTAGTGAGAATTATGTTGCAGAGTTGGTAATACTGTTCATATGGTCAGCTGTTGTGGTGGTGGTCACGGCCAAGACTTATTCGTGTGAATCTGGTGTGTTGTTACAAATTACATGTACTATTTTACCTATAACTATTCCCTCGTTAATTTGGATCGTTGTACAGTACAGTAATTTGTATTTCGGCTTAATTTGTTTTTAATTTTTTATCCCCCCCAAATGAATTAAACAATTTTAATTCAGAATGAATCTGAAATAAGCGAGTGGTTCTGAAAAGTTGATTACATATTATAATAGGATATTATGAAATAGATTAAGGTGAATGAATCATAAGAATAGAATATGAATTATTTTAAAATACTACATATACAAAACTGCGTTTGGTGTGTAGCTGAGGAGAGGAAGGACAACTCACTACCTCCCACCTGGCAGCCAGTGATCCCTTTATAACAACAGTATGTAATACACCATAATTCCCATATTACTTAAGTTCATTTGGTGCTGGATTAATAAAACATTAAAAATTATTAATTTTCCCCCAAAAATCAATCACAGATGAGCTATTCCAGTACCAAATAAACCTAAATAATAAGAGAATTATGGTGAAATTGCATGATGTTGTATTAATGCGGTTGGAGGTGTGCGGTTGGCTTGAGAAGGAGGTAAGACAAGGGGATGGGAGGCTCAGGCCACCACCCAACTGTTCTGTCTCCCACAAACAATTCAGGAATTCAAGAACACAAATTATTGAGACTCCACTGTGCTCTGAATTTTTAAAATAAGGATAACTGTAGTCATATTTACCTCAGCAAATTCTGCCATCACCATTGGTCTGTAGGAAGCAGTGCCATGTGAAAGAGAAAATTATTAACCATACATGGAAGCTAAGAGAGTCAACAGGATAGGATACATACATGGAAAACACAAATTACACTCAAAACAATGCAAGACAACACACTCTAGTATGTGTACCTTTGCTGTGCCAAATATTGTAGTTTCAACAACAGTGTCTTTAACATAGTTTACCCTAAATACTGTAGTTCCTTCTACATACAAATTCTATGCAGATTAAATCTTATATCATTTTAAGGCCCAAACTTAATATATGTAGCCTCAGTTCTATAAAATAAAACCCCAAAACTCAGCATCCAATAACTTAGCAATGGGTATGATATAAAAAAAATTGTAGTCGGCAAATTGGCGCTAAGTCGACAGGAGCAGAGTCACATGCAAGAACTCAGCAAGCTAGTCACACTGAGCCAGAATTGGTAGCCCACTAGCATCAGTTTATGTGGGTCTCTTATCATGGGTAGACCTTCTGACAGTGATTAGGTGCCTGTGAAGTGTTACTGTACATATAGTGTTAAGTGTTAGTCTTAAGTG